GACGAAGAGAGGCCTGCATTAGTCTTCTGGTCAAACCCATAATCGCAATGCGATGTGCACGTTCACGGGCAGCTTGACGAGGGGCAAGAGCGCGGGAAGATGAGGCAGCCAAAGGCATATCCGGAGGCGAGGCCAAAGAAGTGGAGGTGATAGTAGCAATCTGCTGAGCGGATGCCTGCTGCGCGGTCTGAGAGGCCCTCGGCTGCTTCTCAATCTCAGAACATCTATGCTGTAGGCTGGATGTTGGCATACCACTGTCATCCATCACGAAAGACGTCTGTGCCTCAAGAAACTCCTTACGCATGCTCTCAATCTTTGTGTCTTGCTCGCGAAGGGAGACTGCCAGTCATCAGATATCTGCGCGTGCCGCTGAAAGACGTCTCTGGCAAGAAGTGTGAGTTGATCTGCTAGCTCCCCACAGCGAGGGGTACTGGATTGGACTGCGGACCGCAACTCATTCACCTCAGTCGTACTCGGACCACTTGGTTGAGGCCACTGATGCTGCCTGCAATGTGCTCGAGCTTCGTAAGGATGCTGGGGTCAGGTGGGGCTCCGCGCCGACGAGAACGGCTGCGATTGGTACTCCTGCGATGCCTCGACGAAGAGGCAGTAGACGAATCACGTGTGCGCCCACCACGCCTCTCAGAACGACGCTTCCCACCCATCGCGGCGAACTGAGCAAACGGATATCTGGAACACCGCGTGCTTTGGCGCACGACCGGAGAAGAATGCGAGGCCTAACCTCGGGACGCTCGGGTCAACCCCTTGGCAGCGTCCAAGCTCGAAGCGCCGGGGCAGCGTTTCGAACTTGAGCCAAAATGGCTTGAGCCAGAATGGCTACGGTAGATCCTACTGCTTGGTTTTGCTTCTTCTCCAGAAGAACCCCCCCTGGGGCTTGGGTCCATGCCGCCGGCCACCCGGAAGGCTGCGTTCGACGCGGTTGCAAAGGCTTTTCGTGCTCCAGATGGCTCCACGATTGCATCCAAGACGGCCAGGATGCTCCAAGTTCGCCCCAGCTGGTCCAAGATGGCCTCCACGACGGCCCAAGAGAGTCCAGGATGCCTCCAAGTTCACTCAAGAAGCCTCCAAGACGGCCCAAGAGGCCCCCAAGAGGCCTCCAAGACTGCTCACGAGGCCCCCAAGAGGTCCTCCAGGAGGGCCCGAAGCTGCCAACATCATTGACTTCCGCAGGTTTTTGAAGGATTCTGGCATTTGCATTTTCGGCCTTCCAACAGCCCAACAGGCCCGAAAGATCGCCCCAGAGCGCTCAAGCGGCCTCCAAGATGGCCCCATGACGGCCCAAGATGCTTCCTAGACTGCCCCCAAAGGTCTCCAAGATGGCCAAGGTGGCACTCGAGACAACCCCGAAGCGCTCCAAGTGGGCCCCAAGACGGCTAAAAGAGGCCCCTAAGAAGCTCTCAAAGGCCCCCACGAGGCCCAAGGAGGCCCCCAAGAGACCTCCAAGAGGCTCCCAAGAAGCTCCCAGGAGACCCCAACGAGTGCCCCAAGATGCTCCCAAGAGGCCTCCTCCTCCTTCTCCTCCTCCTATTCCCTTTTCCCTCTTCTCCTCATTCTCCTATTTATCACGTGTTCCCCGAAAGGCTTCCACAACAGCTGGGGGAACACATGGTCCGATAGCGTGGCCAAACTTTCCCTAAACGTTAGGTCACATAGGCGTATCCTGAAAGGCAGGGGGCGGCGGTGATTCGCCGTGCGCGTCTTCGATAAACCCAAACCGTTGATTTAACGAACATCTTTGACTGATTTTCGCGTTCCCACCTTTTCGGGCTTCCTTCAGCCCAAAATGGCCCAGGAGGCATCCGAAATTGCTCGAAGACGGCCCAAGAGGCCCTGAATATGGCCCAAGAGGCCTCCACGATGGCGCAAGGAGGCCCCACAACTGCCCAAGAATGCTTGAAGATGGCCGAATGAGCGCCCAAGCGCCCTTGACAGGCCCCCAAGACGCCGCCAAGAAGGCCTGGGAGGGACCCAAGATGGCCGAACGTGGCCCCAAGGGATCTCCAAGACTGCTTCACGCGTTCCCAAGACAGCCCCAAGACGGCCCAAATAAGCTGCACTAGAGCACCTCGCGAAGTGGGGACCAGAGGCGTCACATGCGAGGAGGAGGAGGAGGAGGAGGAGGAGGAGGAGGAGGAGGAGGAGGAGGAGGAGGAGGGAGGAGGAGGAGGCGGAGGAGAGAGGGAGGAGGAGGAGGAGGAGGAGGAGGAGGACTGCTCAAGTCTCGCTGTGCCCTTACAACGACCCGTTGCTTCGACGCCACCTGCCCGGCTGTGGACTACGCTGCCCCGGCCCCCCCCGCCGTGCGGGGCGCCACCGGCCACCAACAAGTCCAGCTCCTCCTCCAGCTCCCAGGCCGCCTGGGCGAGAGCTGGTCGTCGAGGGCCGACCGAAGAGATGGAGGCCATCCGCGTGCTCCTCCTCCTCCCCCTCCTCCTCCTCCTCCTCCTCCTCCCTCCTCCTCCTCCTCCTCCTTCCTCTCTCCTCTTCTTCTTCTCTTCTTCCTTCTCCTCCTCCTCTCCTTCCTCCTCTCCTCCTCCTCCTCCCCCTCCCCTCCCTCTCCTCCTCCTCCCTCCTCCTCCTCCTCCTCTCCTCCTCTTTCCTTCCTCCTCCTACTCCTACTCCTTCTCCCCCCCCCCTCCTCCTCCTTCTCCTCCCCCTCCTCCTCCTCCTCCTTCTCCTCCTCCTTTTTCTGTTTCTTTTTCTCCTCCTCCCCCTCCTCCTCCCGCAGGGGAGGAGCCTGACATCGATGACCCGGAAGAGGACAAGCTGGTACAGATCATCAGCCTCCTCATAATGCCGAAGGATGAAGGAGGAGTTCAGAAATACCAGCTCCAGTTGGACGCCCTTCGAGTCCAGCGAGCAGCAGAGCCCCTCTGTGTATGCGGCCATGAAGGCCCGAGATGCAGCATTTGGAGCTCTGGACCAAACAGTATATGTGGCAGAAGAGCTTGAGGGGCCGCTGGCAGAGGTTGAGCAGCAAGTCTTGGTCTGCACCAAGTGGTTAGACGAGGCGTCGGCGGTGTACGCCAAAACCATCCAGACGCTGGCAAAGCAGGTGGCCACGCCAGCGCTGGCGACGGAGCGAGCTCTTCGGCGCGCATCTCTATCGCCTCGCTCCTGGAGGGCAAGGACGTCGAGCTCGACGACGGCGGCCTCTTCGGGCTGGAGGTTGTGGGCGACTATGAGATCCAGGAGGCGGACAGAGAGGAGGCAACTAAGAGGAAGCAGCTTCTCCCAGAGAAATCCAATGAGGTGGCCCAGCAGGCATTCGGTCAATTCGACAACGAGGCGAAGGAGCTCGAGAAGAAGCACAAAGCGCTCAAGGACCGCCTCCTCAAACAGCGAAAGGCGAGTCGGCAGCTGCTAGCAGCGGCCAGTCCAAGACCCCAGAGACAGCTGCGCCCACGGCTGCCCCAGTTGCAGGCAGCGGAGCAGGAGCAACGCCAGACATGGAGGACCTCACTAAGGAGGAGGCGGAGGAGGAGGAGGAGGAGGAGGAGGAGGATGAGGAGGAGGCGGCCGCCCCAGACGTCATGGCAGGAGCTCGTGCCCGCTTGGTGTCGGTGGCTAAAGGAGGCGGCTGCGGCTCTCCGCCTCGGAGTCCGCAGCAACTTTAACCCTCGAGTTGGTGAGCCAGGCGATCGCCCAATTTTGAAGGCTACTCCGCTGAGTGACAGAGCGACGACCAGAGACTCATCAGCAACGACGCGTGACGGCCAGAGTAATGTATAGGGGAGATCTCTCCGCCAGCGGGTGCAGTATGACGGAGTCCGTGTCAAGCGAGAGGCTGATGGATGAGAGGAGCTTGCTCGAGAGGTTGGCGTTGACGAGGGCGTCGAGCTAGTCTCAGCGGACTACAGGACGAGAGCGCCATCAGCGAGAGGGGCAGCAACGACGCCTCCAGCACAGACCTATACACGGACCCCCACTTTGTGGGGAATAGGGGTATCGCTACCTGGACAGATGACATGTCTTGGGGCCCAGCAGGCGGCAACTTCCTGGATGGGTCGTATGCCTCGTCATCAATTTCCTGACTTTCTGGGTATGCGCCAAGATCTAATGGATGAGATGACGTCATCATCGGCCCGCTGGATCCACGACTGGCGCGAATGGTGCATGTCCCACTTCGAAATCTCGCTCAACAGCCCGCGAGTGGCTCAGCTACGGTTGGACCCTCTTCGACGGCACCCTGGGCGCACACTTCGGGGGATTGCAGAGCCATGGTGCTCTCAAGCTTGGGATCGTAGGCGACCCGTGGTGCCTTAGTCTTCCAGCGGATCTGCAGCTTCGAGTCGCAAGAGCAGCGCCGCATCTTCGTCGACTTCCACTGGAGTGGGTTGCGGGCCTCCGTCGCCGTTTCAGGCGCTTGCTGTGCAACCAAGTTATACCTAACAGGGCGCTCCCAGACCCTGGCGATGACGACCAAGCTCGGGGTGCCTTGTCCAGTCGAAACGTACCTGACCCAGAGGCCTGGGCAGGCGACTGCCCTCCCTCGGCTTCGAGCCTCAAAGAGGGTGAGGGCGCGTGGGGTTCCGCGCCTGGTTGGTGGAGTGCTCGTTCGGCGAGGGCGGGCGATGTGAGTTGGACGGCGCCCGCGGCTTGGGACGTTGCTTCCCTGGGGGGGGCGCGTAAGTGCGAGCTGGGGCACGGGTGCAGGGAGTGCTGCGACATGTTCGGCGGCGAGTTCGTGGAGGGCGGCACCTTTGGCTAGCCTGGTGCTTCGCCTGCATGGAGCGTCATCGGCCACTGCAGGGGCGCGGCCAAGGCGAAGGCGATCGAGGACAGGGAGGTTGTCATCTTGTCGTAGTCGATGCTTTTTGACTTCTGAGTTGGATTTGTCTGGGACGAGCGCCCCGAGCTGCTCGGCAGCATCGCGGGCTAGGAGTGGATCAGGTCAGCCATTGCCCGTTGTCGCATGTGGCGGCTTTGCCAGCCCACCACGATATGACGAGCTCCGCCTTTGCAGCTACGTCGATGAGGCTGACTGGTCCCAGGAGTCCCCACTAAGAGAGACGGAGACATCGATTGTTGAAGCGGGCCTCATAGAGCCCAAGGCAGGGACTTCCACTCAGTCTCCCAGGGCGCTGTGCCTGGACGAGCTTCTTCCACTAGTGCCAGTGGACCAGAGCATCCCTCTCAGCACCGGCATGACACTTGGCAGCACCTGGAGCTCTGGCCAAGAAGTCCTCCGCTGGTGGCATCAGAAGTCGGCGCTCCCTCAGGTTACCCTGGTCCAGGAGACGAGGTTCATGCGCGACCATGAGGTTCAGTCAGCTCATCAGTGCTGCAGAGGAGGCTCATAGTCCCTAGCGGTGGGGCTTCCGCTCGGGCAGTCAGACCACATCCAGGCTGTGTCTGGCAGTGGGGCCAGTACGATTTCGCAAGCGATTGGGGCGCATCAGGTGCTGTATATACCAGCTCAGTGGATTCTCAGGAATATTCACCTTGGACAAGGCTCGGGGATCATTGTCGGCTCGGTGTCTCAAGCACAGCATCGGCATCGTGGGCGACAATGAGGAGTTGCTGCGCTTCCTGGTTGGTTGCTACCCTGCAGGCACTCCCCTACCCTTTCATCCTCGGCGGTGATTGGAATGTTAAGCCTGGCGAGTAAACGGAGAATGTTGCTAGCTTTGGCATTGCCGACGGGTGCGGCTACCTGTCATGACAATGAACATGTCTTCTTTGTGTGCTCCCAACTGTTGGCCACTTCCAAACATGATGTGCACGTAAAAGCATGTGACCCACTCGATCCTCAAACACCGGTGGCGGTCAGATTCGAGGGCTTATGGCGCAAGCCCTACGTCTGGGAACAGGTTGGGCCAAAAGCTTCCCCTCAGACCATTCCCAAGGCGGACGATGGCGCCCCACCCAGAGATCTCTTAGCCGTGGCTTGCTCTTGATGAGACACAATATCGAGGTGCAGGATAATGACTTTGAGGCAACGCTGCGGCAGTGGTATACGGTGGTGGAGAAACAGGCCTGCCGTATGTTCGACATCCCTCCTGAAAAGCAACGAGTCTATTGTGGTAGAGCCCAAGGCCTCAAGAGGAGGAAGGTAGCCATGCTCGACACATTCGAGAAGCTGCAGGAGTATACTGACACGTCGGTTACCCTGGCCTGGAGATCGTTTGCGAAATTATGGAGAAGGCTCTGTGGCTGGTCCCAGAGCAGGGCGGAGTCTGTTAGCGCCAGCCTCGAGTTGGCGATCAGGAAGCCCAATAAAGCGCCGCTCTATGCTAGAGAGGTAAATGCACATGCAGCTACCATACCCCATCACGGAGACGGGCATCCTGGAGGCCAATGCGATCGACGAGTGGCCTGCCATGGGCAGGGAGAAGCCGCAGTACTACCACCAGCTGCAGGAGCTCCTCGAGATGGAGCTCGAAGCCAGGGCGAAAAAGGATGCGGCGAAAAAGCTCCGGGACTAGAAGGCATTCTGCACTGAGGCCCTGGACGGGGGCTGCAAGATCTCGCGCGCGGCGATCCAACCGCGGCTCCGAGAGGACGCCCCTGATGCGGCGTCAGCAGCTTGTGGCGGGCAGCGAGGCGGCAGATCAGATCTTGGCCGACTGGAACCTCTTGTGGATAGCAGATGAGCGGCAGTATGACCCACGCCCCACCTGCCTCTTGGCAAGTGGAGTGTGGCCTCTCGCCAATCACCGTCGAGGCCTTCCTGGCCCCCCCCGTCGTTCCCTGGCAAGACAGTGCTAGGCTGGGGCTCTTTACACTCGAAGTCATTTTGAGAAGATGCCGACTGAAATCATCCAGCGAGCAGGTGATAGTTTGAACAGCTGGGAGCAGAGCCCTCAGCATCGGCTTTGCTTTCCATCATCATAATTTTCTTGCCGAAATCGACGGGCGGAACGCGCCCGGTCGGCCGCATGTGCACGCTGGCGCGCACTTGGAGCAGGATTCGCCAGAGGGTGATTCGAAAATGGGAAAAGATCGACTCGTCCTGGTTCTGGGGCAAGGACTCATCCACAGCAGCACATCGAACCAGCTGTGCGCACAACATGCTCATATGTTATGCGCGGGCTAAAGGCCTCACATCGATCATCACATTTTATGACATATCCGAGATCTACAAAAATATCGCACACGAGCAGTTACGCATATCAGCTGCGCACTACTCGTTCGACCTTGGCCTACTACGCGCACTCGATGTCGTATACAGATGCCATCGTCATGCTAATTAGGGTGGGGGCCTCCATCAGCGACCCCGCGGAGGCCAGCGGGACCATCGTGGCAGATTGCAGCTGCGCGACGGGAATCTCTAAGTTTATGATGTTGGCGGTACTCAGAGATCTCGCGATCTCGATCCCCACGTGCCGTAGTATCAACGTCATTGATGACCTCGCATCGCGCGTGGTAGGTGGCCCCGTCACCTCAGCCAGGCATTCGTTCCAGGCCCGCGTCAAGGTGGCCCAGCACATGGACGAGGTCCAGCTCCCCATCAATTGGGGCAAGACCAGGTTCATGACCGCCGACCCTGATGCCCTACAGGAGCTCCCGAAAGATCCCAACTGGGACCTCGGCCTCAAGCACCACGTGAACGCACATCGGGACCCTGGAGGGGATTCAGACAATGGGAAATACAGGAGGCTCCCCACGGTGCTCCAGAGGATCTCAGAGGCCAAGAAGATGACCCGCAAGCTCAACCGTTTGGGAACGGGTGCCGCTGTCTCCAGGGTTTTCAATGACGGGACCTCTGGCAAATGCGATCTGGGGCCCCTCCATCAGCGGGGTGGCCGACGCGACCCTCCGAAAGCTCAGAGTCCAGGCGGCCAAAGCAGCGGGCCCGCTCCATTTGGGTTGTGCGTCATTGAGGCCGGCTTCCTGTACGGTATCGAGGTGCTGAATTCGCGTAACTTCTGGCCCAAAATTAAGCATCACACAGCAGCGCTCATGGCCACCTTGGACATAATCAGGTGGCGCTTCGATTTTCATGGGAAGTCCTTGGTTGGCGATTTGGTGCGCTCTTGGTCAATCCCGAGGTTCTCGCCCAAGTTCTTTGTGTGCCCAAATTGAGAGGCTGTCAGGAGGCACGTGGTGCGGAAGGAGCAGGACTGTCAGACAGATTTCAAGGTCTGGGAAGGTGATGCCGTCTGGCTGCCGATTAAGTCGCTGCCCAACCAACCTTCATCAAACACCTGGCAACACCGCCGCAGGCAGACTTTGAAATGTATCGTTTCGAACATGTACTAGACCCAGACCATAATGGCGCTCCATGCAGATGGCGTCGACACGAAGTGCAGGCTTTGCCATAAGGGCCAGAGGCTCTCTATGCCATCCTCGTCTCTGGTGCCTTGCTTTCGAAGGATGGCGACGAGACCACTTAGGACCTGATCTTCGGCGAGCTGCTGGCTGGTTTTTGGGAATGTCTGAGGAATCTGGGGAGTCGTTCGCTCGTGCCCTCTTTTTGAGCCCCATGCTTGAATCGGGCGTTCCCCTCGAAATGTCAAAGGTGTGTGTGCGCAATCGATCAACTGGCCGGTGGACGGCGTCTTGGTGGACGGCGTCTTGGTGGTCTTGGTGGTCTTGATGGGCCTTGTTTCGAGGTCAACTTCCCAAGGCTCAGGGCCGCAGGGTGGTCGATCTGTGTCGTCAACTCCAAATGGGACCTCTTGCATGGACTCGACAGGGTGGTCCCGCTCGCCGGGGCCCCAGATCAGAGCTCCAAGGACGGGGAGGACTTCGCTGTGCGGCAACTGGGGCTATACACGGTGCTCGAGGCGGGAGTTGAAGTTCATTTTGATTGACATGCTACGGTGTATGTGGCCAGTCGTCTTCCAGCATCGGCCAACGAGAACCACACTAGGTGTCATTGGTGGTCGGAGGTTTCAGAGGCGCTTGAACATGTGCAGTCTGTGAAGGTAGACTCCTTCCAGACCCAGCAGGCCGTCCACCAGGGCTCATTACCCACCAGTAGTTGAACGGTACCGCTGACACAGGCCGCCTGGCCAAGTGAGGTACTGAGCCCTTCCGTGTGCCGCAAGCTCAA